GGTTCAATTGTCGCTGGATTTGACGAGATAGTTTTGAATCCTCTTTAAGGTATATAGCATAATTAAAAATTACTAGGCTTACACCTTTCAAGTCAGCAATGGTCCACCCAATGGTGCTTTTATGGCGTCTAAGAATTTCAATCAATTTAGACTCATGCAAGTTTGCAAGCTTAAATGAAATTACCATTGGGTATGACTCATCCTCTCCTAAGAATGAATATTTAAGGTCAGATGGGAGATGTTTTAGTTCAGGCTTTGGTAGCTTGATACTTGATGAGAGTGGCATTGTGCCACTTGGTGAGATTTCTTTGAATTTGGGTGCCCATGTCCCAACAGTGTGAGCAGGGTAATTCCTTGGATTTTGTTCATCATTTGTTGTCTCAGATGTTAATGACTCCAACAAAGAAGATTCAGTAGGATTTTCACAATATGTGTTATGTAGATGTTCTTGTATCAGAGACTCAATGAAATTTATTTCTCTCACTTCCTTGTCCTCTCTTGGGTGTTTGACAATATTGAAAATATTTAGCCCAAGAGTCATATTCCTAAAAATTAATTTCATGACTCCATTCTTTGTAATTGATTAGTGCATTTGAAGTTGCTCGAAAGGGTCGACCAATAATGATGAGAATTAGATTCTCTAAATGCATTGCTAACTGAGTATCTAGAACAACGAAGTCAATAGGGAAGATAAAGTTATCCACTTGGATAAATACATCTTCAACAATGCACCTAGGAACTTTGACAGATCTATCTGCTAACTGGACCATAACATAGGTGGATTTCAGTTCACCTAGATCTAACTGCAGGTAGGTAGAGAAAGGGAGCAAATTGACACTGGCTCCAAGATCTAACAATACTTATTACATTCTGAAGTTTCCAATGACATATACCACAATTGGAAACCCCAGATCCTTGTATTTTGGATGGGTTTTTTGTTGAAGTAGGGCACTAGCTTGTTCAATCAAAAAGGCTTTTTTTTGGGCATTATGGCTTCTTTTGACTGTGTACAAGTCTTTCAGAAACTTGACATAAGATGAAATCTGCTTGATTGCATCCAGAAATGGGATATTGATTTTTTCTTGCTTAAAAAACTCATAAATTTTTGGCTAGTTATTCAACTTCTATACTGTTTTGATCTATGAGGAAAAGTAGCAAGAATAGGACACGAATGTTCTTTTTCCTTTGACGGTTCTGGTTCCTATTCAATCATAGGTTCAGGCTCTTTTTCAATCACAAGTTCTAGCTCTATTGGTGCATTGACTGGGATTGACTCAAGTTTCGGCTTTCAAATTAACATGTCTTTGATGGTTTTGTCAATCACCTTGCCACTTTCTAGTGTAGTGACAACCTAGGCTTAGTCTTGAGGGTTTTCCAAGATAGAAGGATTTTCCACATGAAATTAGCCTTGTGGTTGTTTTGGTTGGGCAGGAAACTTATCTTTCTCATGTGCGGTCATGGATTGGGTCAACTTTTGGATGTGGCTTTTAATATCCTCGAAAGATTGAGTAGTCTGGGTTTCGAAATCAGTAAAAGCATGAGTGGAACTATTGTTGTCGGTCATGTGGCTTTACATAAATTGATTCAGTGTGTCCTCAAGGCTCCCATTTTGTGGTGGTTGGTATGGTTGATATGTGGGAGGTCCTTGAGGTGGTGATTGTGAACCTTGTTGTGGGTTCATAGGAGTTGGTTGTGTATTCCTCCAACTGAAGTTTGGGTGATTTCAACACCTTGGATTGTATGTTTTATAATATGGGTTGGAGTAAGGCTTGTTGAAGTTAGAAATTACATTTGTTTGTTCTAACAAGACCTCTTTGAATGCCAAAATGGTAGGAAACTCCCCAGTAGGGTGTCATATCAGAGCACAAATACCACACACTGGTTCAGTGGGAGGGCCAATCTCAACTTGATGTACCTTTTTCATCTCTAGAGCTTCAAGCTTTCGATACAAGGTAATCATTTTTGCTCTCAGGTCACCATCATCTTTCAAGACATACTTACCCCCTTGGGAAGTAGATGGTTTGGCTTCAACAGTGGTAGGAGAGGCTGAGTCCCTCATCTGAGAACTATCAGATATAGTGTCAAAAAAATTGAATGCCTCCTCCGTACTATTTCCCATGAACTCTCCTTGAGCCATCATTTCGACAAACTGACGTAGTCTAGTGGGCAAGGAGTCATACAAAAATCCTACCAAAATCCAATTCTCAAAAACAAGGTGTGGGCAAGGAGTCATACAAAAATTCTACCAAAATCCAATTCTCAAAAACAAGGTGTGGGCAAGATTGGAGAAGATCCTTGAATCTCTCCCAACATTGGTAAAAGGTCTCTCCTTCTTTAACCAAAAAATTCATGATTTGTCTTTTGAGTGCATTAGTACGGTGTAGAGGAAAAAAATTTCTAAAAAATTTATTCTGCAATGCCGATCAGTTAGGTATTGAATGGGATTTTAAAAAATTTAGCCATTGTTTAGCTTTGTCCTTTAAAGAAAAAGGAAAAAGCTTCAACTTGGCCAGCGCAGAATTTTCTTGAAATATTCTACATACTTCCTTAAAAATCTTTTATATGTAGATATTTTCTGATTCGAGCCCATGGAATTGAGGTAGTGGTTGAACTGTCCCCGCCTTTACATTAAAAAGGGGTGCATTTGCAAGACAAACAAAACAAGAGGGGACACTGTTTCCTGTAGGATGCAAATAATCCCGCAAAGTTCAAATGTTAGAAACTTCCCCCTACCTCACAGGATCTTCCCCTTCTCTTACAGGAACTTCCCCTTCTCTCCTATTATTTGCCATGTTATTCTCAAAAGAGTCTGCTATTGATCTGGTTGAAGATGGTCCAGACTAATTTACAGATCCTATAGATTCCTCTGGCAAATTTTGAAAGTGAGGATCGTCCTTAGACATAAAATAAGAATTGTACAGAATAAATCAAAAATATATATACAAAAATGAAGTTCTTTTCACCTTTTTCTTTAAAATGAAGTACACCAAAGTGCAAGCAGTCAAGCTGTAGTAATAATCTAGTTAAGTCCAGAGTCGAATCCACAAGGAACTATTGTTGGTGTTTCAAAGTAAGTAGTGACTAGAACCTTTGAGATTTGAAGTTATGGGATTTCCTGGACATAATATAAGATTCTTTCCAAGGGGTTTTTCTAAATAGAAATATAATTAGTTGTCAAATGTAACAGTCAACCTTTAGCTCGAGGATCTGAACATGTAGTCAATCATTCAGTTTATTATACTTTTGCTTGGTAACTCAATTAACCCCTGTGTCAACGTGAAGTTAATCGAAAGATAAGGGTGGATTATTAGAATTAAGAGCATGGTTTCGATGTCTTTGGAGGGGTTTACAAGAATTGTCTGTGTCGAGACTCAACTTGTCTACATATAAGCAAGTGTATCTACAAGGCATTCAACCACTGCGTTAGTATTCCATTCTTTAAATGAAGCACAATAATGGTGAAGATTGAAATATAGTCATGAAGATCTAGCTGGGGTAATTGCCTATAACCAATGAGTCTTTCTATGCCAAGAATCATCTATGTCATAGAAAGTACTCAAGGTTGTACAAAGTACCTTAACTTTGCTATATGCATTCAATCATTCAATAAGCAAGTGAAATATAAAGCATTAAGCATAAACGAAATGCAAAAATATAACTTTCAAATGATTTATACATGTCTATCACCTCTTACTAAAGAGTGAATGAGAAACTACTCATTCTTCATGGCTTTGGCAAAACTAGAAAAGTGAGTGACGCTCATCCCTCCAAGTAGAAGAGTTACAAGGTAAAACACACTACACAAGGAGCCGATCTTCAATGAAGAATGAGTGAGTCACATTCTACCCTTTACCACTTTGGTAAGGCTCTAGAAAGGGAAGAGTTTCACTAAACAATGGAAGCAAATGAAACTAATTATGAAAGTATAAGGGAGCTAGTTACTTTTGGAGGGTTTCCACCTCAACCAAAAAATGATCTATCTCCTTTTATCTCTCTCTATGTATGACTATGAATGTAAGCCTAAGTCTAAGCCTAAGTCCTAAATTCTCCACCTTTTGAAGCTCCCACAATGGGAGTATTTATAGGCATGGAAGGGGGCAAGGATGCTCGAGAGAATAGCACAAGGTCCTCAAAGTCCAAGTGAAAGCCTCGAGGTCCGAATAGAAAATCAACCACTCTGCAACCTATCTGGAGACAAGGATTGAACATTCTATGGCGTTTGAACGTTGTCTTCTGTCTTTTTTTATGGACGTTCGAATGCTAGATGGGGTTTGAACTTCCCACTCAAGTGGTCTTTGTTCTTCTGTGAGAGCAACTTCCACACACTATATGCTATAGCACACTCTTCTAGGAGGTACTCAATTGATTCAAGCCAACATTCAAAGTTAGTTGGCGTTCAAACGTGGTACTCAAGTACCTCTTTATTTTTCTTCTTAGCTGCAATACGCCATGTATCATCATCTCAGTAGTTTGGTCCTCCAATAATTCAAGAGGACGTTTTAATGTGGATTGGTGCTCGAACGTTCATGCTTTGTTTCAAACTTCTCCAATCTTCTTTTAGAACATGCAGTTGTTGCATTAAAGTTTCATATGCATTGACTTTAGGCCTCTGTACAATTTTTCTCCTGAAATGTCATAATTGAAGCTCTATCAAAACATAATTAGTCTTAAAAAGGCATAGTAAGATACTAATTTCAACTACTAATCAGCAGGCACTGGGCATTGTCCGTTGGGTGTTGTTCATTGGGTGCAAGCGCTGGGCATTATCCGCTAGACGTAGATGCTGGGCATTGCTCGTTTGGCACTGTCCATTAGGCACTGGCGCTTGGTATTGTCCACTGGGCATAGATACTGGGCATTGTTCACTAGGCACAAGTGCTAGGCATTGTCCATAGGGTACTATTCATTAGGCACAGGCATTGGGAATTGTCTGTTGGGCGTAGGTGCTGAGTATTGTCTACTGGGCACTGCCCGTTCGGTGTTGGGGTGTTGTCAGCTAGGCGCTGGCTGGTGCTAATGCTGGCTATAGAATGAGAGGATGTGGGCACCGTCTTGGAGCAAGGGGGCATCGCCAAGGCCAGTTATGCAGAGCCCTAAGGTGGGTTGACAAAGGGCAGAGCAGGGCTGGTTTGGGCGATGTCAGGGAGGCATGGGCATAGTCAATAGAGGGGGCGCACGCTGGGTGCCAACCGAAGTATCATAAAACTCTGAAAAAATGACAAAAACTTTGAACGAACATAATTTTGCGCTAAGCTGTTCATTTGAGGCAATTTTTTTTTTTTTTTGAATTGGGGTATTTTTTCAAGATCTCTAACATACAAACTGTCGAAGGCATTTTGGGCAACAAATTTTCCCAAAAAATGCTTCTTTCTTTTGGAATTTGAGTCTAAGCCTCCATCATGGTTGTCATAACATGAATGTAAAGACTTAACACAATTAAATAAAAGACTTCAACTACAAGGGGAGTATAAACCTCCATCATGGTTGATACAAATGCAAAATAAAAACATAAACAAGAAATGTCTAAGAACTAGCTTTCAACTCTACTTTACAAGAGAAAAGGATTTCTCCTTACTCTCCAAGAGGTAGAATTTGCACTCCTTTTATCCAAGAGGAAGAATGCCCTTCAAGCTCCCAACATGGGAGTATTTATAGGCAAGGAAGGGGAGGGGGTATAGGAGATAAGAGAGGATGAGTAAATAGTGTTTGCCGCCCATGAAAACCAACTACTATGCAGGCATTCTGTGGAGGACATTCAAACGTGAATCGATGTTCGAATGTTGTCTTCTATTTTGCTTTAGGGGCATTCAAACGTTGTCTGACGTTCAAACGTGTCTTCTGCTCTTGCTTTATAAGCATTCGAACGCCATATGGGGCCTGACCTTTTCCACTCAAGTGGTCTTCTATAAAAGTTCATTTCCACACTCTATGTAGAAGTATGTTCTTCAACTGATTCCAAGGGACGTTCGAACGTTGAATGGCATTCAAACGTGGTACTCAAGTGCTTTAGAGTCCTCCTTCTATGTTTGTTGCAACACGCCATGTCTCATCAGTCTGGTCTTCAATCAACTCAAGTGCACGTTTGAACGTTAGTTGGCATTCGAACGTGATACTCAAATACCTCAGCGTCCTAGTTCTTGGCTGCAACACACTGTGTCTCAGCAGGCTGGTTTTTTCATAGTTCAAATGGATGTTAGAACGTGATTCAGCATTTGAACGTTCTTGTTTTGTTCCAAACCACTCCAATTTCATTCCCTAATGTGCTAGTGCGACATTCAAGCTTGACTTTTGTTGCCCTCGAGCCCTTGTTCACTATAGAACCTGAAATATCCTTGCTTGAACTCCATCAAAGTACAATTAGTCCTAAAAAGGCATAATAATATGCTACATTTAAATACTAATCAGGAAGTGCCTAACATTCGAACTCTGCGGGATTACTTAAATCCCATAAGAAATAGTGTCCCCTATTATTTTATCTTTCCTGAAGATGCACCCCTCTTCACTATAAAGACGGGGATAATTCAACAACTCCCTCAATTCCATGGATTTGAAACAGAAAACCCATATCTGCACATAAAAGAGTTTGAGGAAGTATGTGGAACATTTCAAGACAATTCTGAGCTAGCCAAAATGAAACTTTTTTCATTCTCTCTAAAGGATAAAGCTAAACAATGGCTAAATTCTTTAAAAGCTCTTTCAATACCTAATTGGCAAGCACTACAAAACGAATTTTTTAGAAATTTTTTCCCTCTACACTGCACTAATACACTGAAAATAAAAATCATGAATTTTTCGGTCAAACAAGGAGAAACCTTTTACCAATGTTGAGAGAAATTCAAGGATCTACTCCAATCCTACCCGCACAATACTTTTGAGAATCGGACCTTGGTAGGATTCTTCTATGACTCTTTACCCACTAGACTACATCAGTTTTTCAAAATGATGGCTTAAGGAGAGTTTATGAGCAAGAGTCCGGAGGGGGCATTCAATTTTTTTGACACCATATCTAACAGTTCTCAGATATGGGACTGGGCCTCCCCTACCATTGTTGAATCCAAACCATCTACTTCCCAAGGGGGTAAGTATGTCTTCAAAGATGATGATGACCTAAGAGCAAAAATGTCCACCCTGTCTCGAAAACTTGAAGTTTTAGAGATAAAAAAGGTTCATCAAGTTGATGTTAGCCCTCTCACAGAACAAGTGTGTGGGATCTGTGCACTGACAAGACACCCTACTAGGGAGTGTCCAACCATTTCGGCATTCAAGGAAGTTTTGTTGGAACAAACAAATGTCATTTCTAAATTCAACAAGCCTTACTCTAACCCGTACTCTGAAACATACAATCTAGTGTAGTAGAATCACCCGAACTTCAGTTGGAGAAACACACAACCAACTCCCATGAATTAACAACAAGGTTCACACCCACCACCTCAAGGACCTCCCACATATCAACCAAACCAACCACCACAAAAGAGGAACCTTGAGGACACATTGAATCAGTTCATGCAAAGCCAAATGAACTACAACAATAATTCCACTCAAGCTTTCACTGATTTTAAAACACAGACCACTCAATCTTTTGAGGATCTTAAAAGACACATCCAAAAGTTGAACCAATCCATGACCACACATGAGAAAGACAAGTTTCCGGCCCAACCAAAACCACCACAAGGCCAATTTCAGGTGAAAAATCCTGCAATCATGGAAACTCCACAAGACCAAGCCCAAGTTGTCACTGCACTAAGGAGTGGCAAGGTGATTGATAAGACCATTAGGGACATGCTAATTCCCAAGCCAAAACCTGAGTCAATCCCAGTTAACTCACCAGCCCAGCCTGAACCAGTTGAACCTGAGACAGTGGAGCCTGAACTTGAAATTGAGGAGGAGCCTGAACTTGTGATTGATCAAGATTCATAACCATCAAAGGAAAAGGGACCATCGTGTCCTATTCCTACTCCTTTTTCTCACAGACTCAAAACTGCACAGAAGTTGAATAATCAACCTTAAATTTATGAGCTTTTTAAGCAAGTAAAAATCAACATCCCACTTCTAGATGCAATCAAACAGGTTCCATCTTATGCCAAATTTCTAAAAGACTTGTGCACAGTCAAAAGAAGTCAGAATGTTCAAAAAAGAGCCTTCCTGACATAACATGCCAGTTCCTTGCTTCAACACAAAACCCCTCCAAAATACAAAGATCTAGGCTGTCCGACTGTGTCGTGTGTCATTGAAAATTTTAGAATTAAACAAGCACTGTTAGACCTAGGTGCTAGTGTCAACTTGCTCCCTTTTTCTGTTTACCAGCAATTGAGTCTGGGAGAACTCAAACCCACAAGTGTCACACTTTAGTTGGCAGACAGATCTGTCAAAATCTCTAGGGGTATTGAGGAAGATGTACTTATCTAAGTGGACAACTTTGTATTCCTTGTTGACTTCATCATCCTAGATACCCAACCAGCAAAGCATTCAGAGAACTCAATTCCCATAATTCTTGGTCGATCCTTCCTAGCAACTTCAATTGCACTAATCAATTGCAAGAATGTGGTCATGAAATTAACCTTTTGGAATATGACTCTTGAGCTGAATATTTTTAATGTTGCCAAATACCTAGGAGAAGATAAAGAAGAAAGAGAAATAAATTTCATTGAGTCATTGGTTCAGAACCATCTAAATAACACATTCTATGAAAATTCCACTGAATCCTCTTTATCATAATCTATCACAATAGATGATGGTCCAAAGAATTACCTGACTCATGCTGTTGATACATGGACCCCCAAATTCGAGGAACTTTCACCAAGTGGCACAAAGCCTTTCTCATCAAGTGTCACGCCACCAAAGCCTGAATTGAAACCCTTCCCATCTGACCTCAAATATGCATTCCTAGGAGAGGATGAGTCGTACCCAATGATTATTTCATCTAAGCTCGCAGACTTGCAAGAGTCTAAACTGATTAAAATTCTTAAAAGCCATAAAAGCACCATTGGGTGGACCATCGCTGAATTGAAAGGTATAAGCCTGTTGATTTGCAATCATGTCATATACCTGGAAGAGGATTCCAAACCCTCTCGACAAATACAACGAAGACAGACTGAACCCTCACATGAAGGAAGTTGTAAAAATAGAAGTCTTTAAACTCTTAGATGCAGGGATAACCTTTCCCATCTCCGATAGCCAATGGGTTAGTCCAACCCAAGTTGTGCCCAAAAAGTCTGGGGTCACACTGGTCAAGAATGAAGCCAATGAACTAGTACCAACTTGAGTCATCACAGGATGGCAGATGTGTATTGACTATCGAAAACTCAATTTGGTGACTAGGAAAGACTATTTCGCTCTTCCCTTTCTAGACCAGGTTCCAGAGAGAATTGCAGGCTATGAATTTTACTGTTTTCTGGATGGGTATTCTGGGTATAATCAAATTGAGATAACCCTCAATGATTAGGAGAAAACAACATTCACATGCCCCTTTGGCACTTTTGCATTCAAAAGGATGCCATTCAGACTTTGTAACACTCTTTCAACTTTTCGAAGATGCATGTTGAGTCTGTTCAGTGACATGGTCAAGAAATTTTTTTAAGTATTCATGGATGACTTCTCTGTCAATAGTGACTCATTTGATTTGTGTCTGGCTAATCTAGAAAAGGTGCTAATAAGGTGTCAGGAAGCCAATCTGGTGCTTAATTAGGAGAAATGTCATTTCATGGTAACACAAGACATTGTCTTAGGTCACATTGTGTCGTCTGAGGGCATGAAAGTTGACAAGGTAAAAATAGATCTGATTGGAAATTTGCCTGCTGCCAAGACTATAAAGGATGTCTGATCATTCTTAGGACATGCAATCTTTTATAGGAGATTCATAAAGGATTTCAGTACCATAGCAAAACCCATGTGTTATCTCTTGAGTCGGGACGTAATCTTTGATTGGAGTGAAGGGTGCCAACAAGCTTTTGATAAGCTTAAAGGCATGTTAATTTTTGCCCTAATAATGCAGCCCCCTAACTGGACTCTGCCTTTTGAACTAATGTGTGATGCAAGTGATTATGTTGTAGGTGCGATATTGGGACAAAGAAAAGATAAGAAACCACATGTCATTTACTGTACAAGTAAAACTTTGAATGATGCTCAAATGAATTATTCAACAACTGAAAAAGAATTGTTT